CCCCCCCCCCCCGTAATTAAAGCTGCGACAGTTGAGTGCATACATTTCATTCAAAGGTGTATGAGGATCCCCTAAAATAAGAGTACAGTTCAGCACAAATGAGTGTGAATCCGCACTGCTTTAACATGAGAAACACACTGAGCAGACCCAGCACAGAGAAAAGAAAGAGACAAACACAAAAGGATAGATGAATACAAGAAAAAGAACAAACAAAAGGGGAGAAACGACAGGCTCCCAGTGGAGGAGGAGGAGCTGGGCCGGAGCAGGTCGTCAAGAGTGGCGCTTTTTGCCATGCGCTTACCTGTCCTTCAGTCCTCGTCCTCGGCGAGCTCCGTCTCTTTGTGGACCACCACGCGAGTGACGGACATGTCAGGGTGCTGCTCTTTGGCCTCCTTTATAGCCTGGGCCAATGCCTGAGCCCGCCCACAGTAAACCAACACAAACAAACAAAAGCAAACAAAAGATTTAAAGGGAAAAAAATGAACAACCCAACACAAGAATGAAAACACAAGCAACTGAATGCAAAAGGATGATGGGAAACATACATGCATGTGAACAACTGATGCTGGGACCTGCGTGAACAGCTCTCAGTCTGAGAGGATGGCAAATGTCACATCGCTATGGTAACCTGTGTGCATGCTCCCGACCAATCAGAAGCTGCGTGCGTCATACGACACAGTCGGACAGAAACACCTCACGGCTAAAACGAGCGCCTGTCATCATGCGTCTGAGGATCATGAGCTCCTTCACACTACAATCACAGCTGCACTGTGTGTGACTGTCTCAACTTTACCACTTCTGCTCGTACAATATCAACCCATTGAGATACTCAAACGCTCAGAAAAACCGCAAGAAATCAGTCGTATTGTAGGTCAGACTGTATGTAGAGCGATATGATATTAGATTGTGAATGATTAAAAAGTCTTCACAATCTGCCTTTACTGAGAGACTGAGTGACTTTAGTAATCACAAAAGTTTATTGCATTTTTTAAAGCTTTGTCAGCTTAAACTTTCAAACTATTTTACTAACATAGCATGTGAGTTTTCTTTCGTGTAATATTGCGCTTTAACAGTCAAAAACTCAAAGTTCACATAAAAACACAGTTTCTCTGTCTTAAGTGGAAATAAATAAATAAAAAGAAAATCAGATGTATGTGAATATACTGGATCAGTGCATTCGGTCTTAAAGTGACAGCAGCTTAATAAACCTGCTGCTGTCTGTATTGTTAATGTGAAGAATAAAAACACACTCACTGCTTTAATATCTCTTACAACTTTAGTAGATTCAATTAAAATCAATGTATATTTAATTTATACGGTGAAGACTACAGTGTTTTTTTTTTACATTTGATTATTCAATTTCTTACTTGAATGCTGCTGTTAAATAGATTTACTTTATTACGGACTAATCAGGTCGTGTCCTGACATCCTCACTGATGCCACACAAACCAAAGCAAGTTTAAGCAAATGTGTAGATGGATTAAATAAAGTCAGAGGCATCTGGGCAAAAGAGGGACTTTGTTGACTGCTAGCTCTTCACAACAAACCCTGAGAAGACCATGTTGAAGGGAGCGCTAAATAATGAGACACGCAGCAGATCCTACAGACACACCAGTGGAAACTTTTACTGATGTGTCACTCTGAGCGATCAGACCAAAGAAACCTGCTACAATGTCTAAAAATAGACTCCGGCAAAAATCAAAGAGTGTGCATCTGGCTTTATAT